CCCAACCAATCACCGCCCTTATTCTCCGAAACCTTCCCGCCTCCGTAGCGATTTCAACCAATCCCAACCCCCCCACCCTCCCACCTGCCCGCCCATCGGTGTCTTGAGTTATCTCAATTCAATTTCAATTTATAAGTCATTACAGTGAAGGTGATCGATATTTATCGGGGTTTTATTCGTGTTTAGTGGCTTTAAATCAAAGAGTCCATGTCTGGAAATGTTCTGGATCGAATTAAACACCACAGTGCCAGACAGTGTGGACATGAATATTATTTATATTCAAACACAGAGTGCATTTTAAAACATGTGAAAAGAAGAAATGTTAAGATTAAATGTCTCACTAAACATAAAGTCAACATTTTTGTCTATTTTGTTTATTTATTTATTTATTTATTTTGGGGGGGGGGGGGGGGGGGAGCAGAACCGCAACAACATTCTCCAAATAGAGTAGTAGGAACATGTTCCAGAGGCATTTAAGAAGATTCTAGGAATTATCAAGGATTTAGGCTCCATGGCCTTTAGGTTTTTCAAAGATCCGTGAAATGGTTCCTTGAGTGTCCTTGACGATGTTCAGGAGTGTTCAAGGAGCTTTCAGTGGTTTCTGGGAAACACCCAAGAACTCAGCACAAATTCCTGTTTTCTCCTATTTTTAGTCAGTAGTGTCCAAATCCTCTGTGTCAAGGTTGACATCCTGGAAGTCCTGATGTGGATCACAGGTTTTCTCCAAAATCCACTGTAGAGAGAGAGAGGTGTGTGAACAGATCCTTGTTTTACATGTTTACTCCCCCCACCCCCGGAGGTGGTTGGAGGCTTTACCCAGCCATTAAGCGGTGTTGCCATCTCAGGCCTTAATGTTGTTTATTGTTACCGGTCTGTGAGGGGCCGATGCCGAATGAGGATGACAGGCCATATGTGCAGAGGAGGAGACGTTAAAATGACCACATGGATTCTGGTCTGACCGTCCTGACAGCACTCACACAGTCAGAGGTCGGAGAGGAACCGGGTCTAGGAGCACATATGCAGATGGCACAGATCTGGTCTGAGGACATCTGGTGTGGTCTGTTCACACTGCTGTGGACACACCAGGTCTGGAAGACACTGGTGGGTATGTGAATGTAGTTGTTACCATGTGCCCACAGCAGTAAGCCCTGGGAGCAGCACCGCATGCTTATTTATCTGCTGCTGAGATAAGCTGCAACAGTTTGAGCCATACATTAACTAGTGCCATGTTTTTTCAACAAAAACAGCTGAGCCAGAACCAACAGAACCCTGTGTGCAGAACATGTATGTGGAGGCTGAACTGTGCCACTGTGAAGTACAAAGGGGCCTCACACTGCAAAGGGGCCTCACAGCCTCCTCAGTCAGTAACCAGAGGTAGCGCAGGGGGCTCAGGCACAAACCTACGCTCCTGAACCTGACTCAGATTCTCCTGCAATGCACATGAAACCCTCAGAGAGTCGTTTGTGGAAAACTAGGTTTTACATATGAAAACAAACAGCAGCTGCAGAGACACAGTCACTGCTGCTACTGTGACTATTGATTACACCGTGTGTGTGTGTGTAGGTTACCACCATTCATATGGATGAGCCCAGCCATTTCTCAGGAATGTGCCTCTTGTTCTGGGAGCTGTCCGAGGTCAGAGGTCGAGCTGCTGCTGCAGGAACCAGCCTATTATTACTAATCACCTATATCTATACTTATATGAAGTTCTGATTCTGCTGTTTGGAGGACTAGATATGCACTGCTCAAAACAAAAGTCCCTAATAGCTTTTAAAAAAAAAGCATTTAGTGTGAAATGTCAAACGGGCATATTTTAAAACCAAAGGATCACTTAAGAAAAATGTGGGGTTATAAGTGAGTTTAACACACAATAACTGGGAATCAGTTGTATGAAAGTATAAAAATGTATTCAGAAGACAAAAGAAAAGAACCAAGAGGGACCAGATCGGAGCCCTGGGCTTCCTTACTGGGTATTCAGAGGTCAGACAGTGACCTATACCCTGCAACAACCTCCACATTTACTAAGAAATGTTTAAATTGTTCAAGTCTGAAAGTATAAATGTATCACAATCAAGTGTAACAATCAAATCTGTCTTACACAAGTCATCACACAAGTTCTTAAAATAAATCTCTCTCCAGTCTTTCAAAATAAGTTTAAGACTTATCAACAAATCAACAAATATAATGGGATAATGTGGAGATTTCTACAGTTCACTACAGAGGTTTCGCTTGTTTGTTAGCTGTGTGCCTGCTAATGACATTTTGCTCAGTAACAGATGGAATTTCAATGAAATCTGCTGCAAAGTTTGGCCATCGGCCAGCACTGAATGGAGCAGGCCTTGGTGCAGGTCCAGGACTTTACAAAGGATTTCTTGACTAAGCAAATTTATTTACAAAAACAGAAGGGACAAAGTTCTTTACAAGTAGAACAAAGGGTGGAAGGAAGCATCTTATGAGCTCCTGTAATTATGGATCCTGATACTGGATACAGTAAGTAGAATTCAGAATTCAAACCAAATTAATAATTTGTATCGTATATTTTTACATGTCATTTTCTGTAACTGGCTTGGTTTCCTGGCTCTGCCCCTGTTTTTTTTAGCTCCTCTGCAGACTGGAGGTTGTGCAGGCTCTGCAGCTCATTATGCTGCTCTCCACATGCAGCGGCAGCTCCTCCTTACACCCCCTCCTCCGTTAACATGTGTATGGAGATGGGGATTGTCGGGGGTGGAGGGGAGGTGGATGTATTAGCGTCCATGAGCTTCTTGTCAACACCTGAGCCTTCCTCAAACACAGCGGCTGCACTTTAATGAGGTTTAGCTGCAGCACTGAATGCAGCTCACTGACTGCTGCCTGTGTCGGTGCGTCTGCTCAGTTTCATATAAAATGACAAATAAGCACAAAAACCTGCCAGTGGTTTGCTTTGGCAGGAAGGTCTGAGTATGGAGGTCCATTCACTACAAAGCCAGTCTCACTGAACACTCAGAAAACGCTGCAGCCTGGCAGGACTTTATCCATCCATCCACTTTCCAGTGACTCTCCAGGACCATGTGGTGGTGGCAGCAGGCCAAGCAGAGGTAATCCAGATGTTCCTCTATCTACAGTTCCTCCTGAGAGAGGTTCTGTTAGGCTGAGATTATTTTTTCCCACAGGAGGAAGGTTGTTTATCAAAAAATACAAACCATTTCCCCCGACGCACCCAGAGGAGGAGGAGTCCAGAGATGGAGCTGGTGTTTGAGGAGATAACAGAGGTTGTTATTAGAGCGCAGGAGCTGCAGGGCCATGACCAACACAACCAGAGGCACAGAGCAGGGAGGGGGTCACAGGTAATACTATCCTCCAGCTGCTTCCACTTTATCAAGACCCCAGATAAGGAGGAGTTCAGCCTCCACAGAGCCTCTCAGATACTCATTCAGTTTCAAGTTGGAGGAACAAGTGGAATTATAGAAATGACACCTTTCATCAGCTGCAACACAAAACACTGAGGTGTATGTGATGGATTCAGACTCACTGGCTAAAAGAGCTAAGGCAGGTTTGGCTGTTCGGTCTGAGGCAACTGACCATGTTGTATAAGGCCTGACATGGAGAATGAAACTGGATACAACATTTTGAGTATGACGGTGTCTGGAACATGCAGCAGGCAGTCATTCAAAGGCAACAGCAGATCAACCAAACCACAACAACAGTCATCTCAGGGCACTTTACATAGTAAGGCCTAGACGGGTGGTGGGCGGGGGGGCCATTCCCGGTCCTTGTTTTCCAGCTATCCCTGCCCTGCCCACTACTGATCACCTGGATCAAGTGTGTTCAGTCAATCAGAAGCTGGAAGACACCAGTTCACTTCATCTTTCCTCACTGCATCCTCATCTAAGATGGCAGCAGTCTAGGCCTATAGCAGCATAATTAAGGGAAGGCTCAGTCGCCTGAGCCAGCCCTTAATTACATCTTTATAGAACGTCAGTATACTGTAGTTTTCTACTGCGGCTAAACAATCCATGAAATGAACACAGACTGTGCAGGGTTTGCTTGTGTTTCTCTCATTGAACAAACAAAGTGCAGTAAAACTTCCTCTGATCTGGATGTAGAGTTTTCATCTGATTTAAGAGGGGGGAGGCTCTGTGCGTCCGCTCACATGTTGTCCACAATACAAATTGTTCTTCTGTTGTGATGCTGTTAACTGCTGCCTCATTTGCATCTGGATCGTCCTGCTGTAGCAAACAAGGAGTGAAGAGGAGCTGCAGAGCAAGAGCTGCCTTTTGTCTCTGAACGACACAAGCTGTTTCAGGTTATCTGCCAAAAAATAAAATGGTTTCACTTCACCCAGATATCCTGAAAATAGTCCTCAGTGGTCTGTAAGGTGACAATAAACTACGGCGAGACTCTGCTGCACATCTCAATCAGACAGCGGCATGTTTATTTTTCCTCCTGCCGTAAATCAGTGCCCTCAGCAGAGATGTCCTGACATGGAAATGTGACCTGAGAAGTCTTTTCACATTCATGATGCTCTGATGAAAGCAGCTCATTATACTGCTGCTGACCTGAGATCAGATATCAGCCGCTCAGAGGAAACAACTGTCAGATTAAAACACATCTGTACAAGACGTCAGCTCATTCAGCAAAACCTCACACTCTGTTTCTTTAAAGCTCAACTCTCATTTTTAGCAAAGAATCATTTGAAATAGTCAGTTCCGTTCACCTGAGTCATAAAACCAGAATGACGACGGAGGAGAGACAGCAGACGGCCTTAAAAGGAAGGAGAGGAAATACATCATGTGATGTAATCTGGGGGAAGTGAGCCAGTGTTTGTGGAGTTCTGCAGCAGAGTCACAACAAGGTCTGATAATCCCTGTGTGTGTGTGGTTGGGTGGGGGTGGGGTACATTCATGTGCAGAGCAGCCCATGCTGTCAGCAGCAGCTCACATACAAAAACACTCACATCTGATTGGCTGAAACAATGTGTGTGCGCTTCTCTTCA